ATTGAGAAGGGAACAAAGGCCGCGACCCCGGGGTCAGAGTGTAATGCAGGAAGCATGACCTCCCCTTTGTTCAGAACAGCACTGTTTACTCTGCCTAAGTAAAGATCACCAATACATTAACTAAAGAGGATTAAAAAGGTCATATCCCCAGGGATGGAGCTCACGCAAGTGGCAACTCTCTTCAGTCACTAAATCATTTGACTTCCCACTACCCCCCTTCAAAAAAGAGACACCTTACACTGCCACAGCTCAATGTCACATTATTTCCAGAGCCAAAGTCCTGTTTCACACCCAGGTTAATTTCTGCACAGCTAGCCAGCTGTTTTGAAGTAATTTTTAAAGTTATCAAAATATTGTAAGTGAAAACTATCATCTCAATACAATTTCCCCCTTTATATCTCCTCCTGAAAAATTCTGAGTTGATTTATAAAATTGTTTGTGTCTTAAAGTGGTTATTAAAAAGTGCAATTTTTTGTAGCTATTATAAATGAGATTCTTAAAATATTCTGTAGCCTGTGGACGGGCAGAGAACGTGCCTGTTGCTGTAGACAGTTGCTAACTCCGTGACGGTTCACGTGCAAAGAGGAGAACAAGGCAAACAAACTGAAAGGATGCTACCTATGAAAATTCACATATGCTGACAGCTGAGCTTTACTGGGCTACAGAAGCACTTCTTTGGGCTATTAAGCTTCCTCTTATCAACTTTTTAATAATATCTTTGAACATCATTATTAATATGAATTTTAACAGAAGCATCTCTTGGAACAGCTAAATTAATGCTGCCTTGGTAAAATCTGGGAGGCAACACAGCCAGTTGGAGAGGAGTGCCTCCTTCCTATGCTACCTCTAATCCACCAGCCTGCTGGATGATCCCAGCTTTTGCTTTGCACCTCGCTTTCCTCGTCTCTGGGGATGTGGCTCCCTGGGATGCAGATTTTACCATCAGTTACTCGGCCAGGCTGGGAGGAAGAGAGCATTTGGAAGGGAGTGGTCTAGACAGATATTTTCCCTTCTCCACCCTCAGGCAGCAGCACCTCTGATAAGGCTGAACATTACGTTAGAGGTTCCAGAAGAAAATCACAGGAATAAAGCCGGGCAGGCAGGGCAAGCTCTTGATCCAAGTCTCTGGCGCAGGGAGCTTAGCAGAGACAAAGCCCAGCCGGGGTCAAGGCAGCTGACAACAGCACGAGATCACCACCCATCACAGCAGCAGTGCCAGAGCCAAAGAACCTGGAGCACACGGTACAGCAGGGATTGCAAGGACAGGGCTGGGAGGTGAGCAGGTGGGCAAGGACAACGTGAGCACCAAGCAAAGCTTTGGAACGGGCTGAGGCAAAGAGGTGCCTTGTCCAGAAAGCAAAAGCACTGGACTGAAACAACCAGAACAAAGAATATACTCAGAAATTAATATCTGACAACGGAGATTGGGAGCATAAGGACTGAACCAGTGACATAAGGACACTTTACTGACATACATTAGAAGCAGGAAGACTGCACAACAGTTGTCTGGCAAATCTGACACAGTACTGGGAAACAAAGGGAGTGAAGAAAGAGGACAAAAAACACTGCAGAAAAGGTAATGGTTGATTATGACCTTGAGCTGTTTGTTCATACAAAAGAGGAACCTATCCCTTCTCAGCCTGTACGACCATATTGACATTTCTTGTTAGCTGGGTTCTTGATCTGGGGTATTCAGAAAAAAATATAATATATCCATTACTTCTTCCAGTGAAAACTCCTAGTTTTTTCCAGTTCTTGTTCACCTTCTCGCCAGCCAACAGCACTCTCCCTCCAAGATGGGAAGTAACAACGACACTACAAGGTTATAGAATGAGATGTCCTTTCTCTTGAACAGGAAAACAGAGAAAACGTGACTTTGTGACACAGAATTCTTGTATAGTCAATTTTTTTGGGGGGTGGAGCAATAGTGACCCTACCTCATATTCTGAGATACACCCCTTTATCTCCTGATGTCCAGAAATCCAGACAGACCCAAAGGTACCTTTTAGGTTAAAAAGAAGTTATCAGGCTTAATACAGATGGAAAACTCTATGATATTCAAGTCGTCAAATTGTTCCCCCTCTGGTCCCTTCAAACAGAAAATCCCATTAATCAATTCTTTTGCAAGTAAAGGGTGAAAGAGCAGCAGATAGCACAGCAGAAAGTGCTGAAATAATGGGATAAATTAAAGGCAAGCCACTCCAAGGACACATGCAGGCTTTCGGAAGCGGTTCAAGGTTGGAGGCAGGGTTTCCAACAAAAATCTGCACTCTCCTATCAGGAATGAAAGGGTAGCAGTCCTCAGAAATAGCCACAAATGATGATCCAGATTACATGCCAGTGAATTCTGTGACTTAGTAAACCGTCTGGAAGGCTACTTTAAAAGATTATAATTTTAATGCCTGAGCAGGGATTACATAATGGAGAGAAAAGCAGCACTGCTAACATAATGAAAATATGTCTTTTTTCACTTGGGGTGCACCCACCGAAGAAATGATTATTTAGCTGGCCTTTCAAAAGGGCTTTGACAACGTGACTCACGAAGGCCACAAAGAAAACGCACTAATCGTGACAAAGTTGGAATCGTGATTAAAAACCAGCTAAGCAGCCAAAAGTAAACTGCAGGAGTGAAAAGACATTTTGACACGAGAAAGGTCAGTAGTTGCTGCATGCAGAGGTCATGCTGGTACCAACTTCTACCTTTAGTTAGTGGTCTAGAAAGATCAGCTGTAAAATAAGAGCGGCAAAACTGACAGGCGAGGGGAGACTACTGGGTAACTGAGGGGTTTAACAAAGTTAGGTAAATGTGAAACACGGTAAATATTTTTTTTATAATTGCTAAGGAGATCGTATTGCAACATTCTCGAAGGGAAGAGACCTGGGTGCCATCATAACAAGTTGACCAAAGCTGTCAGGGATACACAGCAACGTCAGATAAGCCAAGCAGGAAAACAGGCTCCTGTATCCAAAACCTTACCCTTCTACTATCCCCCTGCCAGGGAGACACCTTCCTGGAGAATGCTATCTGCAGTTCTTGTTGTAGTCCCTCACTACAGCTACAGCAGGCACAGGAGTGCAAGGGCAGGTGACAAACAATATGACTTACAAGAGACTGCCACATATGGAGACAAAGTAATGAAACTATTTATGCTGGTGAGCACATGAGCAACAGGGAAGGCAACAGAGACAGTTTGAAAGTCAGGAACTATAGCCTGACTCACCTACTTCCAGTCTTGAATGGGAAATTACTCAGCTAAATTAAAAAAGCAGTAAATTTAAACTATGGGAATATATTATTTTACAACATGCAGACTGAGCACGTGAAATTCAGTCCATCATTAAGGGACATCAGTGGAAACCTGAAAGAACAGAGTTCTACACATAGCCTACAAAAATACAGTGTTAAATGGGATTGCTGGGTGGAAAGACCATAAAAAAAAGGCACAAAGCCACGATGGAGCCAGTGGCCAAGGGATCCACCTGGCCCACTTCCTGACAAGGACAAGGTATTCCAGAAGGATCCCATGTTGGTTATCTTCGCCCTCCGCTCTCTTACCACCCCACCTTTTGTAAAAAAGGTCAGGGTAGACTTGGCATGAATTAGCATGAGGAGCTGAGCAGTAATTCACCCCTCTATTCTGTATGGCCAGAGGTAAGGGCAAAGGAAGAGCCCAGTAATTCACCCCTCTGTTCTGTATGGCCAGAGGAAAGGGCAAAGGAAGAGCCCAGTAATTCACCCCTCTGTTCTGTATGGCCAGAGGAAAGGGCAAAGGAAGAGCCCAGTAATTCACCCCTCTGTTCTGTATGGTCAGAGGAAAGGGCAAAGCAAGAGCCCAGCTCCCTCGGCCTGATGGGAACCCACCACTCTCAGCCAGCCAGAGGCTCATACAGCACCGCTGGCACATCACTCATGGCTCACAGGACACCTCACACCCTGCTTGGCTACTGTGCTACCTGCTCTCATGCCCCCACAAATAATTAGCGAGAGCTTTAATTGTAAGACACTGTTTTACCAAATAAATACAGTTCCTTTTTTATCTTACTATCTTTTTTCCCCATCCACGCATCGTTATTTGCAAAAACCATTTAATAATTATGAGAGATTCCAAGCTGTGTGTCAGATCCTGGGATATTGCCACTCACATGGTGGTTTGCTACACTCAGCCTTTGGTCTTGTGGCTCACAATTCACCCGAGCTGTGAGAACAGCTCACCACAACCCACACACTGCTGCTCCTCAAAGGAAGACAAGGGTACATAATTAAGAGATGATGAGCTCAAATGTAAGACACGAGATGTGGGAGCAGATTCTGTAACCACACCGGTGAGTGGTTTTACTACTAAAGAAGTTTCTTCAGCTCCATCTTCCCTCACGGTATCAGTAAAACTCACACATTTTTAAAATACATTTGCAGCAGCAGAGTTAAAAAAAATGACTGCTACAACCATGCCAGTGCAGAAAAACAGTTTTAACATCAATTGTATGGAATTAAGATTGTAAATCAGCATTATTAACAAAATGCCCTTGTAATAAGTGTTGACAATGTCTTAAAAAAAAATACAGTTTTACTAAAAATACCATCAAAATCTCATCCCACAAGAATTGTGACCTGAAAATATTCTCACAAAGTCTTTCCAAGACTCTGTGATCCTGTAACTGTGGCCATAATATAAAGAACTATGGACAGAAATATCTGTGTGTCATGTGCCAGCATGGAAATGAAAATCCAGAAGCGGGTACAGATCTACTCTGGAGGATCAGTCCCTCGCTGGTTACTCAGAATAAACTTTTCTTATTATTCTGCAGAGCTCAAACTAGTTTTTGTTGTTCTTACCATGATGTATTAGTGAGAGAGTTGAGAAGTCTGGAGCAAAACAAGGTGTGAGTACAGCTCCCAAACTCAAGTAAGGAGCACTGACTGACCTCAGAGACTGGCACAAGCAGTAACAGGATTACATGCTCACTTGTTCTCCAACTTAAAAAAATAAATTTAGTTTTACCTAAAAGGCGGCTCTGTTTCGTCCTGATGAACGTCCCATCTCCACAAGGCAGTGACCCTCTGCAGAGCCAGAGCCTCCCAGCAGCGGCCACACCCTCCTCTTCCTCATTTTTTTCCACTGACCATAAAATACTTTCCAAGGCAGGCCCTGAAAAAAACAAAACAAAACAAACCCCACATTTTTAATGGACACCAGATATCACATTGCTGATTTAATCAGGCAGGTTAGAAACAAATCAATGTATTTTCACACACATTTATATTTTCTGTTTCATTTCAAAGAAATTCGGTCGGCTTGATTTGGCTCTCTATTCAAACCAGAGGCAAAAAGCACTGCAAAGCTGTTGTATGCTGAGGGCAGAACCAAGCCCTCCAGCTGGCTCTTTTTCGTGTTTCACATAACGTGTTGTCCATTGGCACAGGAAAAATTCACAAGTCAGGGGCTCTGCAGAGCACCTTCAGACAAGCCTATATATTCTGTAGCAGTAACAGATGCCAACACAAGACAAGCTGAGAGAGACACCCCTGAAGTTGTCTCCTCAGTCCATGGGGTTCTATGGATTTGACACTCAGGCAGATCTAACTCTGCCTTTTTTTTTTTTGGGGGGGGGGGGGCAGAAGTAAAATTTTCCTGGCCTATGTAACACTCCCAGATTATCAAATCATTGGGATCACAGTATCTGCAGCACAGGTAATAATGACACTGCATAGCAAGTATCACACAGCATGTCCTTACTCTTATTACCAATATTTCACACCATTTATTCGACTGATAATTCAGCCTTACAGAGAACTATCTGGAAACTGATTGTTGCTATAAACTGTTCTGCATATTGTGTCATCTGCTGGCTTTAACTCATTAGCTAAACAACACTGTAATTATACATTTCATATTCTATTTAACCAGAGAATATTCACACGAATACAAAGTGATAAAACCATCTTCCTCTCGTATCTCAAAACCCACCCACTTATTTGCAAATAACCAGCTCCAGCATTCAACAAAATACAAATATTTAGGGTTCAAAACACAGTATTTAGGGTTCGGCAACTTAAGCTCAATTTTCTTTTGCAAATAACTGTACATATATATTTTTGTTCTGCTATTATTAGGTCTGTGAAATTAATATTAAAATAAGCTGCTTGATCATTTAAATTTAGAACTAAATAAGCAACCCGAATCCACGGCTTTATGATATTATCCTTGCTGAAAGAACAAATTAATCCCAAAATGGGAACACTGAGGCTATGTTGAGATGTCTGGCAGGGGATGACAACATATATTACAGGTAGTATACTAAATCGTGCCAAACCCAAAATAATTTCGTAAGCCCAGGCCCTTCTACATATTTATTCACGTACAATTCCATACCCACAAAAAAACCACTGTTGTAAGCAAGTGATCCAGTCGTCAAGGTGCCGTTCCCAGTTTCATTCAGTCCTGCATCCTAACAGGTTTCCAATAAGAAATTCCGAAATCTCAAAGCCTGCCTAGTGCTGTATTTGCACACACAGAGTAAAACAGAATTAACTTGCAGAGTGTACCAGTCCTTAAGTATTTGCAGACACGTTTATTCTCACAGAAATCTTTGTTCTCTAACCCGCAGAATATCAGGTGAGATGTGTTCCTCCTATCAGACTGGTGTCTCCAGAACACCACTGACTTTTAAATCCAAATACACAGCAAGGGAAATGCCAGCACTTTCAGATTTTACTCCCTACAAAGATTCCCCCCTCCCAGCCCTGTATTCCATATCAGAACAGCACACTTACTCCAGGCTGCATTCCTATTTACGGAGATGCTCTGCAATAAAGGAGCAAACAGGGATCCAAGGGTTAACCGAAGGAAAAAAACAAAACCAAAACAACAAACCCCAGCACCGAAAATCCCAGCCATGCTGCAGACCTTGCAAGAAAAGGAAAATGTTCAGCAGACAACAACCTAACAAAAGGCAAACAGAATTTAGTGCCGCTATTGCCTGGATACCAGCTTGGGATTTAGGCAGCCTTGGATTACAAGGACTATTCCCCTGAAAATCCAGCCCACAGTTCCTGCACTGTTTTCTACCAATACCACATCCAAACTGTGACTAAACACCTCATTATGCTCCTCTGGCACTGTCTGAAAGCACACATATTGTACAATTTTCTGGGGCACCTAAAAGTAGAGGGGAAAAAAGCGGCTGTTTTTCACCTATCGGTAATGAAAAGATGAACAGCACATTCCCTGCAAGAGTTTGCACGATCAGGGCATTTTCTTCCCCCTCCCCCTTTTCTTTCTGTGTAGGCAACAGGTGACAAAATACAGCCCCAACCTTCAACTTTAAAAATAAAAATTGCATAGAGTCTACAGGACATCTACACTGTAACGCAGTCTTTTTTTTTTATAAATTAAAACTGAATGAAGAGTTTTAACTGGGCCTTTACACTGGCTTCAGAAAGTAAATGCTTTTCTTAATAGTCATTTGTAGAGCTTTCATTTAAAGAAAATAGAGCCCTCACAATTACAAATACTAACCAGGGACTTGAGGTAACGATCTGGTCTTGACGGATCTTAAAAGAGAAAACGCAAACTGCATTTTCAAAGGAACTGAATGCCTCAAATATTTCACTACAATCTCCTTTTCCAATAACTTGCTAATTGATCTTAAATACATAGATGAATTATGAGGCAATAACCTCCAATTTTCTTAGCTCTTACTCCAGACAAACATTATATTCTGATTGATAGATATCTGAAATATTTAATTTGCTGTTCGTGGCATTTAAACAGTTTATCTAATTTATGAGAAGTAAGGATTCCACATTAAAGACTGCTTCTATTTTCTGCTTTAAGCTTCACCACTTCAAAAGCGTTTTCCCCGCCTATTATCACTTAGAAATAGCCTCCCTTTGTGCACTGGACATGCTACTGTAGCTCAGGAGGCCGCGGCAGTGACACGATTCTCTTGCCAGTCCCCATGCCGCTCATTAAATAATTTTACTCCCATACGTACACACGCAGCTGGTCAAGAAGTGACTTTGCTGCGTTCGGCTACATCTAGGGCACTTCCACAGCAAGCCTTGAAATAAACCCCCACCGAGCTACAAAACCGATGAGCTTCCCTTGCTGTGCCTTTCCGAGCCTCTCGCCGCTCACGCTACATTTCCAAAGCCGAGCTGCGCCGTAGCACCACACCTGCGTCTGTCTGAGCAGAAACCCCACCACGACAGGCTAAAAACGGCTCGCTTCTGTTAATGCCTACTTCTCGATCCGCAATTAAACAGGCTCTTTCTTTAAAGACAGGATTTCCTGAAATATTTACACGCCTAAAAAACAGCTTTCTGTTTTGGAAAGCTTTGCAATTTCTTCCCTTTGCAAAAATTCAGCTTTGCAGTCCCAGCGAAGAGCTCTGGGTACAGCAGATGGTTAAAATTCTGCATCATTTTTAAGAGCCTCAGAGAAAGCACTGCCTTTTTTCGGGGGAGGGCGGGGGTGGAGGAGAGGAGAGAAAAAAAGCTGAGAACAGCAATTTGCAGCCCTTTTTTTTTCCTTGACAGCAGCAAGCCCCGCCTCAGTCTGGCCCTTCCTCCAACCTCTGCTAACCTAAAAACCAGCGCCAGCCTGGCAGCGGGCCAGGGATTCAAAAGTAAACATTATCCTCCTGCCATTTTTTAGTGCTGTTTATCACATCCTGCTCCCTTTTTTTTTTTTATTATCCCCCCCTCATCACAGCCGAAATGCCCGGCTTTGCCCCGGTTTGTGTCTCTCCGCAGCTCCCCGCGGAGCTCCGAGCCCGCTCCTGCGCTCCGCGGCAAACCTGCAGAGGCGTCCGAGGGATGTCCCTGGCCGGGGCTGCGGGCTGTCCTGCACGGAGAGCGGAGCCAGGCGCACCTTTCCCTGGGGATGTCCCGCGGGATGGGGCGGGACGTCCTTCCATCACCACCGCGCGGGCTCTTCCCCGCTCCCCGCACAATGCGCTCGCCTCTCCCAGCGCTGCAGCTGCCGCAGCAAATGCGGGGTTTGCCTCCGCGGCTTCCCCGTTTGCTTATTTAATTGTACCGGGAGTGCTTAAAAACCAAACCCATCCATAGGCAGCCACAGCCCTGCACCTGACTCTTTGTTATCCCTACCGCTCATCCCCATTCCCAGTCCCTTCCGCTCCGCGCTGCCTCCTCCCATCTTGGGCTGCTCCTCGTTTATAAAGGCTCTGCAGAACCCCGACTCATTAGACTGGCTGCTCGCGGGTGGCTTTTACCCACTCGTGCGCTGCCCTGAGCGGATAGCGGGCCCAGCGGCGGGAGAAGGAAAGGACATTTACAAAAATAATAATTAAAAAAAAAAGGCTAAAAAGGAGGGCGGGCAGTAAGCCTAACTAAGCCGCGCATCCCCGGGGAGCGCGGGCGCTGCGGGCGGGGCGGGCGGGCCGAGCACGGCCATGTTGTGCGCGGGGCAGTGCCGAAATGGGCCCGGCAAACCCCTCCTGCCCGGCGGACCCGCCAGCAGCCCTGCACAGGGCCCGGGCCCGGCCGGGGGCACCGCGGAACAAAAGCGCTCCCTCGTTATTTATTGATGGCCGGGGCGTGTGCGCGCCGAGGAGGAGCCTTTGTGCGCGCCCCGCACCGCCACGCGGGACAGCCCGCGGGCTCATCAATAATTGCTCGCCCTCTCCATACCGAAATCGCGGGGCAGCGCATGATTAATTAAGGAGCAGAAAAAGCAAGTGGCGAGCGCGGAGGCCCGGCCGCGTTAACCCCTTCCCGCCCAGGAACTCGCCGGGAATATTAATTAACGCTGCTGTTTGTGTGTCGCTCGGCGACCACGTGAGGCCTCTGCAAAAGGCTCGGAACCACGGACTGCTGAACAGAATTTGCTGCAATCCGCTCATCATTTGGGGAAAAAAAACCCCGACTTATAAATCTTAGCGTGATTGTAAATTAATGTATTTTCATGCAGCGAGGTAAAATAATATTTACCAAGTTATACATATAAAGAGATGTTGCAATTAACATCCAGTAAAACGTGTAACGCAAAGCCATCCGAGCGCTCCAGCCCACGCCAACGTTTCCCACGCAGCGCTGGGATTCAGCGGCTCTCGGGCAGCGATGCAGCCAAGAGCATCACCCAGCCCGTGTGCCAGGAGCGCCCGGCCGAGGGGCTGTCCCGGC